TGTCAGTTAACAGTCATTAGGAATCAAGGATCACAATCTCAGCAGGAGCTGTCAGTTAACAGTCATTAGGAATCAAGGATCACAATCTCAGCAGGAGCTGTCAGTTAACAGTCATTAGGAATCAAGGATCACAATCTCAGCAGGAGCTGTCATTTAACAGTCATTAGGAATCAGGGATCACAGTCTCAGCAGGAGCCATCAATCAATGTTCCAGGGAGGTGGCATTTACTATCCCACATGACATGTACCTAATCAGCCTGCTACCTGTCATGTGTATGACATGATCATGACATAAGAGCATTACCATCTGTCCTGGTCACTGACCTCGCTGATTCCCACAGTCCCTGTGTCTGTGTTCCCCTGACATCATTTAGGAGTTGTGTCACATGTGTCAGGCTGACAGATCCGGTGAGGAGGATTCCTGATGCTCTCTCTCCATGACTTTCACCTATCAAAGTTATTTTTAATTCCCACCCAGCGGGCAGATTTCAGCATGAAACAGAATGATTTGGGAGGGAAACGGTGACGGGGAGATTCTGAAATCCGGTTCTCACTTCCTGCGCACCTCCTGGCATCATTCACCCCGGGAGAATCTGCAACACTTCCCTCTGTGGGGATTTAACGTGACGTAATCCCGGGCCGGCCTGAGCCAACAGAACTGCTTTAATCTTCTGCCCAATCCCTATAAACGCAAAACCCCAGGCACACCGCTAAATACACGGAGGAAATACATATGTGGGAGCTGTTCTACCTGCCACAGGAGTTGTATCGCTGTCCATTCAGTCCTGAGATTTACACAGCTCTGCCACACAGCACAACCCTGTCTGGAAGGGCAGGAGACCTGATTTTATCTGCTGCAGTTCAGTAACACTTACAGGTCTTGTCCCTCCCCCAGCTTGTGGCTGTATAGTGAAAGGAGAAGCAGCAGACTGATGATATTGTCTCTTTGTCACTCTGTTCTCTCCCCCTAACAGCGTGTTCCTTGTAAGCACACTGCAACACAACTGCTTAACTCTTTGCGCTGCTTCTCCCTCCCCCTGTCTGAGCTGGTATTGTCTGGGGCTGATACCAACTCAAATACTTACACTGCTGGCATAAAAATAAATGTAATGATGTGTCAATAAATACAGAGTGGATTAGATATAGTGCAGTTTGAATGTCTAATCTGCATGCTTGTTCCAGGTCAGTGACCAAGAAGTATTGAAGCCATTGGATTAGTATGATGGCCAGGCAAATAGCAATTTCAGAAAAGAGGGGTCAGCAATGGCAGCCTCCATATTCACTCAGTTTAGGTTCCCTTTAGGGCCGGTTCACACCACAAAGTCTGCGTTCCAGAACGTTCTGCCTCTAAAACGCACTGGAACGCAAGCCGGCCGGTTCCCTGCGTTCAGGGGCTGGAGGAGGCGTGGCAGTGCATTGAAGTCAAGCCACGCCCCCCCGCCCGCAGTGCTTGTAGTATTTTTGCAGCTCGCACTGGACCGGAACGCAGGCACTAATGTGGCAATCTCGCTGCTGGCGGGGGGGCGTGGCTGCGGTGCCATTGACTTCAATGCACCACCACGCCCCCTTTTCCTTTTGACTTCGTGGTGTGAACCGGCCCATAAAGCAGAACTCTGGGTGAATGATAAAAGAAAAGCACCTTTGACATCTAGAGACACAAGCAGCTAATGTTCCATGCAAATTTTAAGATTTCCCACCATGTCAGACAGGACTGTGCTGTGCAAGCTTGGCTCCACCTACCCCACCTTAGGAGACTTCCTATTGGCCCTTTAATTGTATAACCTCAGGATCCCCGTCCCAGGCTGTGCATTAGGCCTCTCCACTCTTTAACATTGGCTGTACATTAGTCGTTGTTAGCACCGTTCAGTTCCTTCATAACACACTGGACCCGGCACCACCACCAAGCCTGTTATTTGTGCGATTGTAGAACTGACAGCCGAGTCCCTCTATGTGTTTCAGGAATACTGGGTGAATGAAGCCTGCAATGACTGCAGGCTTCATTTATAAAGACATTGTTCCAATTTCACATTTGTCACGATGTATCTTTTTGGTGCTCATGTGCAGACTGAAGACGTGTGCTTTGTTTTACACATATTGCCTTGTTCAGGACAAAACAAATCAACACTTCACCAGTCCTCCTTCTTCCCCAAAGCACAGGCTGTGCTCCATCGCATATTTTGCAGGCTGAGTCCCATAATTAAAGATTTGGAGGAGTTTTTCACCTACGCTATATGACCAAGAGTTTGTAGACATCTGACCATCACACCTTCCTATATGTCCAGATGTGGACACCCCTCCAAATGATTGAGATTAGGTTTCATCTATATGAAGCCCCAATGGGTGAAACGTGTTAGTGGTGGGTGATCATCAGGCAGGATTATAATGTGCTGTTGGCTAGATTTTAATGATAAATAATATGTTTGGTGAAGATCGGCGGTGCACGGCTATCCTTGCATTGATTAGATTGCGGAGTGTGGACGGCTCCTGGCCAGCACTGGCGGTGAGTCCGAAAGTGAAGCTTGGATTTGGACAGAGTGGTCAAAGTTTTTCTTTTGATTGAGTTCAAGTGTTTCCAGTGAAGGGTTCTGGTAATACTGCAGAATGCAAAGACAGAATGCAAAGAAACAATTGTGGACTTCCAACCTTGTGGTAACAGTTTTGGGAAGACCCTTTCTGTTCCCTGCGTACAAAGCCTGCTCCATAAAGACATGGTTTGGCACGTTTGTTGTGGAGTGGCCTTCACAAAGCCCTGACCTCAAACCTATTGGGCACCTTTGGATGAAGTGGATTGTTAACTGGAATCAGGTCTTCTCATCCAACATCAGTACCTTGCACAAAACCCTGACCTTAATCCTACTGAACACCTTTGTGATGAATTGGAATACCAACTGGAACCAGGTCCTCTCACCCAACATCCGTACCTTGCACAGAGCCCTGACCAACTGGAACCAGGTCCTCTCACCCAACATCAGTACCTTGCACAGAGCCTTGACCATAATCCTACTGAACACCTACTTGTGATGAATTGGAATACCAATGGGAACCAGGTCTTCTCCTCCACCATCAGTAGCTTGCACAGAGCCCTGACCTCAAACGCACTGAGCACCTTTGAGATGAATTGGAATACCAATTGGAACCAGGTCTTCTCGTCCAACATCAGTTCCTTGCACAGAGTCCTGACCGTAATCCTACTGAACACCTTTGTGATGAATTGGAACACCAATAATGAGCCAGGTATTCTTCTCCAGCATCGGCACCTTTCACAGAGCCCTGACCTCAACCCTACTGAGTACATTTAGGAAGAACTGGAACACCAATTTTGAGCCAGGTCTTCTCCTCCACCATAAGTAGCTGACCTCACAATTGTTCTTTTGGCTGAATTCTCAAACATTTCCACACACTCCAAAATCTCGTGGAAAGCTTTCTAAAAGTTGAGACTGCAAAGGAAACGGGGCAACTCCATATTGATGCTCATAGATGTATAATGGGGTGCCCAGCAAGCCAACAATATAGGTCTGACAGTCAGGTCTCCACAAACCTTGGGACATATGGTGTATCTTCAACAATCGTCACCACAACGGTAAAACGGTGCAGCTGTTTGCTCAATCAATATAAAGCAGCCCAATAATAGGGGAACATGGTGTGAGGAGACAATATTGTGAGCAGTTTGCTTTTAATATATATTGGCAGTCATGCTATCACACGTCCCGGTGAGAGAGTCTGCTTGCGTATTTGATTATGTACGTGCGTCTAATAATACGCTCAGCGTGCATGGTCCTGTGGTGTTTGTTTTGAAGTGTCAGGACCTAATATATGATTATATCGGGGAGGACCCAGCTGCCAGCTCCATCACCCACCCTCTGCGTGATGGCAATTTGTGTGCAGTCAGTTCCTGTCTGGCCCCAGTGCTCAGAAAGGCCTCAGGGTGCTGAGGCTGTTCGGGAACATTTCCTTGGGCCTACTAAAATATTTAAACCCTGCTTGTCACGTTCTGGTATTCTGCATGTCATTAGCCCCTGCCGAGCCAGCGTTTATTCTTGTCACACAGGCGAACGTGAATCCATTTTGTCACTGGGCTCTGGCGGGTTGGCACTCCGCTAGCCCCTCGAAGACCCCCCCGCTTCCCTCGCCTATAAGTGGCATTTAAGGGCTGAAGAATCTGCTCCAAATGCTTTCCATATTAGTTCAGCCCCGTGATTCCCAAATACCAGGATCCCTTCACGGCTTACAGTCAGCCAGGGAGTGCACGAGAGAGAGAGAGAGAGGCAAAGAGAGAGCAAGAAAGGGAAGAAGAGACAGCGAGAGAGAGAAGAAAAGACAGCAAGAAATAGGCAGAAACTTTAAAGGGAAAGAGTCAGCAGGAGACCCAGGCGATAGAAGGTGAGAGGAAGAAGAGACAGCAAGAGACCACGGGAGACAGGGAGGGAAAGAAGAGACAGCAAGAGACCACGGGAGACAGGGAGGGAAAGAAGAGACAGAGCTAAATTGACAGCGAGAGACCCAGAGAGGAAGAGACCGCAAGAGATTGCAGGAGAGAGTAAGAAAGAGAGACAGGAAGAGAGAGGAAAGAAAAAGAAGAGACAGCAAGAAAGAGAAAAAACAGTGATAGATAGGCTGAGACAGCGAGAGAAAGAGAAAGCGAGAGACTGCGAGATAGAAAGAAGAAGAGACAGGAAGAAAATGAGAAGATAAAGTGGTAATAGAGAGAGAAAGAGAGAGTCAGGCAAAAAGAGACAAGTGAGGGAAAAAGGAGAGAAAGCTAGAGAGAAGAGAAAGAGATATACGGAGAGAAGAGAGAGAGGAGAAAGAGAGATAGAGAGGGAGAGAGGGGAAGAGAGAGGAAAGGGAGAGAGAATAGAAAGAGAGAGAGGAGAGGGGAGAGAGAAAGAGAAGGAGGAAAGGGAGCAGAGGGAAGGGAGGAAAGGGAGCAGAGGGAAGGGAGGGAGGGGAGAGTGAGTGGGACAAGAGAGGGTTAGAGAGAGGGAGGCAGAGAGAGTGAGGGAGATAGAAGTGGAAAGGGAAGAGAGTGATAGAGAGAGAGACCCCAGTCCAGCCTGATTTGACACAAGCAGCATCCAAATGGGAGCAGACAACAAGCACAAGCAGTCCCCAGCCAGCCAAGAGCAGCCGGCCAAGGGCCAAGGAGACAGCCGGGACAAGAAAGCAGACCAGAAAAAGCAGAAAAAGGAGAAGAAAGCGGCCAAGGCCGGGGCGCAGGATGAGGCGCACACCTGCTGCGGCTGCCGCTTCCCTCTTTTGGTGGCCCTGCTCCAGCTGACCCTTGGATTGTCCGTCGCCGCGGTGGCCTTCATCATGGCAGCGAACTGCTCCTCGTTACTAGTCAGAGACACCCCACACTGGGCCGGGATTATTGTAAGCAAATGTGGTTGCTGCATGATCCAGCGGGCAATCCCCCCCCCCCGTGCATGTCACATTCATTTAACCCCTTCTGCACCAGCACACTAACAAGGATGTGCAGGGCGGTGGGCCGCCTCAGGATCAAGGCTGGGGTGGTGGTTGGTTGGGAGGGGGGGATACGGATAACCGATGGGCCTAGGAGCAAAGAGATTAGGTGACGCACCCGGTTACCCTTTGCAGCGTTGAATAGCCCCGCTCCTGCAAATTGAAGTGGAAAATGTCCCAGACGCTTAGCAATTAGCAAGCGGATGGTGTGTGCCGTTACTATGGCAACCAGATTTAAAGAGCCAGCCGGGGACCCCGCTGTGCGTGGCAATCCAATATTGTCTCGGCTAGGCGGCAGCTGCGAAAGGGGTTAACGGCTGCATCCATTGTGAACTCGAGAGCCCTGCAATTCTGGGAATACCCATCACCCCATCCTTGTCCATTGTGCTCTGACACGAGTGCCTGCTAACCCATTCACTGCTACGTGCCCGGTCTTGTGCCTCTGTCTGTTTTGCCCAACATTTCGAGGGGCCGCCCTGAAATCCGGAGAATCGTTCCTCGAAATCTTGTACCCGGAAAGGGGCCTATTTTATTTTTATTTTTAAACGGTCAATACGGTTAGATTGGTGCTTTTTGGCTTTAACTATTCATTTTGTACTTTTGATGATAGAAATTTTGTTTGCCGTTTTTAACCCTTTATTAGACACTGATATTTAACCCGATTTTTTTTTCTTTCATTCTATTGATTTCAATGTCCGTCTAAAAACAGTGAATTCAGAATTTCACCCGAAAAGTATAACATTCCTCTATTAAAATGGCATGTACTGTATGTGTTTTAGAAATGTGATCTTGTCTTCCTATTATTAAAACCTAACTCCAGATAAAGAAAATTTTATTAGTTCCAAAGTGCAGGGAAGGATTTTTATGGCTGCCTGTATCTAGTTGTGGAGATTTTTCCTCACTTCCTGTCAGGGCAGAAATTTCTCCAACACGTTTTTAATAGAGTGGGGGAGGGGGAAGAACTTCTTGCAATGTCTTTATTGCTATCTGTGCCTTCCTGTCCCGGTAACAACGGCTCCCACATTTCTTGTACAGGAAATGGGGGAAAATCTCCCTGGTGGGGTCACAGTCAGAAGGAATTCTGACCCTTCCTAACTGTGTCCAAAGCTGAAAAAAAAAAAAGTATTTAGAGCAGAAAATACAAGCTAAAAAAAGGAATGACCCATTTAAAGATAAACTAACTAAATCAGATTTTTCTGCAATGTTCACCTTCAATCTAGAGATTTCCCCCACAGTACCCTTTTCTGCCACTAGATGTCCTCAGTCTGATGATCAGCATCATTCAACCCATTTCCTCTGAGCCTGGGTCATCCTGGACCCGCCCCCAGCCTGTGACTGGACAATATGGCCTGGTTCACACATGGGCGTTTTACAGAGCGTTCCTACGCGCTGTAAAACGCTCAACATGTGAAAACCAATAATTGCCTATGGGCATGGTTCCCACCTGAGTGTTTTACTGCGCGTAGGAACGCGCTGTAAAACGCCCTACGCCCAAAGAAGTACAGGAGCTTCTTTGGGGCGTATTTGCCGCGCGTATTTATTAGGATACAGCCGGATAGCCCTCTGTAAAAACACGCGGCAAACGCGCATATTCCATAGGCCCAGGTGTGAACCCAACCCAAAGGTGAAGCGGCACAGTGATGAGCTCATCTCTCTTGTCTTTCTGCTTTCTTCTCCTATCAGCATGTTTCTTGTCAGCGCATGAACTGCTTAGCACCTTGTGCTGCTTCTTCCTCTCACACCTAAACCCTGCTGTACAGGGTGGTACTGCAACAAGCTGATACCAGGTCAGATACTTACATTTACTGATGTAATAATGAATACAGAGCTGAATTAGTTTGTGTCTTTTATATTTACCTGGAGGTCAGCTTTAGTGTATTTCCAAAGTGGTGTTTGATACCGCATGAAGCAATGGCTGTTTTCTGCAGCAGGGTTGTGAGTAATGTTCTGAGAAAACTGGCTTCAGCAACAAACTACCATATTCAATAAAGAAAGCGAGGAGATGAAGTGCTACAAACTACAATATTCAATAAGGGGAGCAAGTGCTCATTCTTAAAGTGTACATAAAGCTAAAGTTTTGGATGGAGTCGAGAGGGGTTAGAATCACTGGTGGGAAATCCAACATTTTATGGTTATCATTAGAACAAGAAGTGAGGAGAAATCCAAAAAGTGAGGGTCGTCAGCTGGGACAACTTAACAACTGGAGAGATTTCCTCCTACTTCCTGTTGTGTTTCCAGGACAGGAAGTGATGGAAATGTCCCCAGATGGATCACAGACATTAAAAAAGACCCTTGACCGGAGATCTAACCAGTGTCTATTCTATGCAAAGTTCAGGGCTACTTCACACCACAAACAGTGCGTTCTGGCCTAATGTTTTAATGTTGTAAAGCACTAAATCGCACCCCGGCCGGCTCCCTACGTTCAGGGCAGGAGGGGACGTGGCGGTGCATTAAGGTCAATGGCACCGCAGCCACGCCCCCTGGCCGCAGTGCTATCGCCTGCACCCGAACGAGTGTCACATCAGTGCCTGCCTTCCGGTCCGGTGCAGTCAGAAAAAATAGTGCATGCAACAGTTTTTCTGACCGCACCGGACCAGAATGCAGTCATTGATGTGCCATGCGTTCAGGGGCGGGCGATCTCACTGCAGCCGGGGGGCATGGCTGCGGTGCCATTGACTTCAATGCACTGCCATGCCCCCCTCCCGCCCCTAAACGCAGGGAGCTTGCCGGGATGTAATTCAGTGTGTTCCGGTACCAAATCGGACCGGAACGCACTGTTTGTGGTGAACTAGCCCGTAAAGAAAATGTTGCCTTTAGATATACTTTAAGTGCACAATTTATCCCCCTCTCTCCTCAGAATAAACCAATTAGATTGGCACCTCAACCCCTTGTAGAAATAATGGTAGTCACTAATGAATATCTTATGGGATTTTAAAAGGCGCAGAACCATGGCATTATCCTAAAAACATTCTTCATTTATTGATTGCAATATCTCATTAAAATTAATTTGTACATATGAAAATACATAAATAAAAGCACAATAAATAGTCCCCTCCCCTTCATAAGTCAGCCTTCCACAGCCACATTTACAATGCAATATACTCCAATAATACTTCCATCAATGATGTCCAGTATTCATACAAATTGTATCAGCTCTGTCCATTTCTGTATTCAAATGTATACGTTCACAACGATTTCACTGATATGCTTCATCGGGGGACCGGAGGCAACTCATCCAAAAGGTGTCAGGATAGGCAATGGTCCTTTCCAGCAAAAGAAACGTTCTTGCGCAAGAGGATGGCTGCGGTACATGGAGGACAGTGGCAGGCGTTCTATTCAGATCACTGGGAAGGCACATTGAGGATGTTTCCCTTACTACCTACAGCAGCCTTTTTAGGAGGAGATCTTGAGTAATATGTTATAAAGAATATACAATATACCCCCGTTTGCCTGTTGTCCCTGTGGTCCCAACGCAGACCATGTAAGGAGAGGCTATCATGCTTTTCCTTTGCTGGAAAGGACCCTTGCCTATCCTGACACCTGTTGGATGAGTTGCCTCTGGTCCCCCGAGGAAGCACATCAGTGAAACACGTCACTGTTGTATAGAGGTTTTATATACATTTATTGCATTCAATTGTAATTGCCTCCGACATTGCTACTTTAAAATCATGGGCCCCATAGCAGTCACATGGTGTCCGATCAACATTGGCGCCTGCCTATTGATCACTGTCCTTATGGAGGTAAACATTTAACTTTAAACGCTGCCGTCCCATAAAATCCCATCTTAGAGACACAGATTGCACGACGGTTTCCGGCACTTTTATGTAGCAACCCAAGAAAAACAAAATGCATAAAAGCAGCCGAGGTCTTGTGACCGGAGTCACTGTGATCCCGAGGGCACAGAACGCTCCGGGTCATGAAGAGGTTAATTCGTGCGGGGCTGGTCAGATGATATTGTCAGTCCCTCGTCGGCCTTTTTTCAGCACCCGTGCTAATTTCACTACTGGCGTGAGGTCTGCTGAAGGGAGTTGGCGGATTCATGGCACCAGATCCCTGCCCGTCCCTGCGCAGTAATCTGTTCCCTGACCCTTCATCTCTAATAATAATTCGGGTGTCGGTGCCTTGAAAGCTAAATATAAATTACAAGGAAACAGCTGAAATGTAACATTTAGACCACGTTCACACCAGGGCGGTTTCGTTGCACCAGGTGGAGGTAGAAGTAGAGAGACATTTCGGGGAACTGGTCCCCTTTCCCACATCAAATCCCACCTGTCACATTCAGTTCATTGCAGCACTGCTATAGAGGACCTGTACTGTGGAGGATGTGCTAAACAACAAAGTAAAGGGCTAGTCACAGGTATTGTCTGTGGTTGTTTCCCCACTACTGACTTACCATGTCTTGTTCTTCACCCTAAGTGGAGGCGGCCATCTTGTTATCAGAGCTATGAGGCTCAAGGCACAGGTAGTGCACTGCTGTATTTCAGGAGAAATTCAAGATAAGAAGCACATATTTTAGGGTATGCTGAGGAACAATTAACATTTCTAGATGTTCCCAATAAAAGGGCAAATATTAAATATTGATTGGAATATTGATTGGAAAGTTAGCAAACACATGCCGCCGATTGCTGACTTACCGACCCTCTCCCTGCAGGGAGCGGTGACAGAGATTCCCCCTCCCCTCTCCATTTCTTCAGCACAGATTGGAGGAACGGATGGAGGAGGGGGCGGGCATAGCTGGCTCTGCCTTAAGAGAGGAAGAGCCAGCTGTCAATCAGCCAGCAGGGTATATTTCAACAGTATTGTCGGAGTCCGGCAGCATATGCTGAGTTTTGGGTCCCTTGAGGACACAGTATGTGTCCTCTCGTGACCCTGGAGAGAACTATAGGCAAAAAAGGTTGCCCCATAGTTCT